CGCCTGTCGCCCCTCCTGCTGTCGGTTGGGCGTCGGCGCTAATCACCGGCGCCGCCGCCGTGCGCTTCCATTTGGCGGGCGCCCCCCCCCCCCGCGATTCGCCCGAGCAGGGGAACCATTTTTTCGTCACGCGCTCCGCTACCTCTATGTCTTCCCAAAGCGGGGCGCCCACGTGCACGTTCCTGTCGTTCAGACGCGGCATCGGCACCAGCACGGGCTTTCAGGTTGAACGACGGCAGTTGCCAGGAATCGGCCGAGGTCGAACGATCTGCGCTGTCAGAACGCCGCGATCGTCAAGGTCCAGGTTGCATATTCTACGCGGTTTCACGGACCAGCGCCGACGTCAACGCGACGCGAACCCGCCGTTGAGCAGCAGGGCTTTGCCCTGGGCCAGCCGCGTCACGGCTTGGGGCTGCGCTTGGCCATGACCGCCAGGCCGCGGCAAAGCCGCGCGGTCATGGCGTGGCGCTGGCCATGGCATGCCATGGCGTGGCCATGGTCCCCGCAGAGAGCAGCCAACCGCGCGAAGTCCGCGCGAGAGGCGGTGCCGAACACTTGTCGGGGGCCTCAGAGAAACGAGGTCGTTCAAGGCTGAGCGGCTCGCGTGGTGGACGATGCTGGGCCCCCCGTCGTCGAGACGGGGGCCCGACGCAGGCAGGCAGGCGGGGTGGGCTGATTGGCCTGCAACCTTCCACGAAGTTGGCCTCGGAACGCCGGACATTGCACCACATTGCACCTCGCAGCGGAGATTGTCTGCTCTGGCCTTGCGGGCGACTGTGCATGGCCTGGCGCTACTTGCCCGCGACGCACGTCTGCGCTGATTGACGTGCGCGCGCGGGTGAAAACAGTAGCCGACGCGGGCGGCGTCCAAAGGGGAATACTCGACGTCGGCGTCGGCGGCGTTCGGAAGGATGGCTTCCGGCCCCGGCGTGTAGCCCCGTCCCCCGCGCAAGCGCCGACCGCAGCATCCTAGTGGAGGTGGGGATGACCCGGCGTTTCCGCTGGTGCGCACGCCCAACGCTTCTGAGGCTGATTGTCATTGAGATTGTAGGTAGGGTGGGTGGGTGAATGGGGCGGCCCAGGCCGAGTAGATGGTGAGGAGAAGGAAAGGAGAAACGACGGCGATGATGATGTTGATGATGATGATGGTGATTATGATGATGATGATGATGATGATGATGATGATGATGATGATGATGATGATGATGATGATGATGATGATGTTGATGACGATGACGATGATGATGCTGGAGAGGGTGGTGGTGGTGGTGATGGTGGTGGTGATGCGTGTGATGGTGATGATGATGATGAAGAAGAAGAACATGCTGATGATGATGGTGATGATGATGGTGGTGGTGGTGGCGATGGTGATGGTGGTTGTGGTGATGATGACGACGATGACAGGGATTATGATGATGCTGCTGATGATGATGAGGAGGAGAACGACGACGACGACGACGACGACGGTGATGATGATGGTGGTGATGACGATGATGATGCTGATGCTGATGGTGCTGGTGCTGATGCTGATGACGAGGGAGTGGAGGGGGAGGGGGGAGGAGGTGGAGGAGGAGGAGGAGGAGGAGGAGGAGGAGGAGGGAGGAGGAGAAGAAAGGGGTGGAAAGAGGAGGAGAAGGGGGACGAGGAGGAAGAGGAGGAGGAGGAGACCCAGCGCAAACCCAAGACGCATCAACGATGTTGCAATCATCCCTTCCTCCAAATCCCCCCTCAAACGTACCTAAAATAATGTATCTCGATTGCGGGAAGTGGTCCAGTAGAAGACAAGCGTCTGGGATTTCAATGCCTCGGATCAACGTAACTGTTGCGTGTTGACAATACCTGACAAATAGAAGTCGTGGTGTCAGAACACCACTCCTGGGATTTCGACCGTACGAATCCTCGAAGCTGCTATACACTTTGAGATGGTTGTGCGTGGCGATACGGGGAGAGCCACATCTTGAAAATGAGCCGCCCTCCATCCGTGAAACTGTGCAAACCTTTGAAGACGAATGTGCGCGGCGCTAAGGTGATAGCCACATGTTGAACACCACACGCACCTCATCAGCGAAACAGTTGACAGGTTGTAAGACGAATGTGCGCGGCGCTAAGGCGAGAGCCACGTCTTGAACATTACACGCCCTTCATCCCCAAAATTGTTGCACAGTTTGAGCGCGAATGCGCGCGGCGCTAAAGCGAGAGCTACATTTTGAAAGCGACTCGCCCTCCATCGGTGAAACTGTTGGGAACTTCTGAAACGAATTTGCGCGGCGTTAGGACGAGAGCAATACCATACTTTGAAAACGGCCCGCCATCCATCCGTAAAGCTGTTGCACATCTCAGGCTTTCCGGACCATAAACAGTGAGGAGGTCTTAGGCGAAACGCCTGGCCCGGCCTACCAACACGTCTGGGGCTGCGACAAGGAGGAGCTATTGAGAAGGAAAAGGGAGAAGGAGGAGGAGGAGAAGGAGGAGGAGGAGGAGGAGGAGAAGGAGGAGGAGGAGGAGGAGGAGGAGGAGGAAGAGGAGGAGGAGGAGAGGGAGGAGGACGAGGAGGAGGAGGAGGAGGAGGAGGAGGAGGAGGAGGAGGAGGAGGAGGAGGGAGGGGGAGGAAAGCATAGCAACCCAAAGCATGGCATCGCAAATCGGTGCACATCACAGCATCGCATTGCATGCCGTGGCATGGCACTGGCTGACTTGGAGGGTAAGTGGCCCGTCTACGAGAGGACAGGGCCTGTCCGGAATGCCAGCTCCATGTCCTTCGCAATCGTGCTTGCCCGTTGCGGGCGCTTTCGAATGCCAAGTGCCGTTCGGAAGCGCAGGAACGAGGACAGCGCTGCAGCGGGAGCACAATTTTGAATGACCAAAGCGCGGAAATGAGGGCGGCGCTGCAGCGGGAGCACCATCTTGGAAGAACCAAAAACAGAACGACCGGATTGAAAAGACATGTAGGGAAAACCAAATCATGAAATCTTGTGCGTGAAAACAGTACGCGGAGAGGATGGGAGACTCTCGAAGAGGGGGATGGGGGAGGGGGAGGGAGAGGAGGGGGAGAAGGAGGAGGAGGAGGAAGGAGGAGGAGGAGGAGGAGGAGTAGGAGGAGGAGGAAGAGGAGGAGGCGGAGGAGGAGCAGGAGGACCAGTGTAAACCCAAGACCCTTCAACGTTGTTAGAACAATCCCTCCCCCTAAACTCCAATTTCTCAGGCCCCTGCAAGGCCACAAGGCTTCAGTTCCATTGAGGGAACTGCCCCCTGAAGCGGGCCAAAGCACCAGCCCGGGAACTTCAACGCCGCTAATAAGCCTGATTGTTGCGTCTTGACGATCCTGAGTCGTGCCAGAGCACCATTCTTGGGACTACAACACCGCGAATCAAAACAGTAAATGGTGCGGCCTGTCCATCGTGAGTCGTTCCAAAAGACAATGTCTGGTACGTTAACCATTGGACTCCGCAAAACTCTTGAAATGTTTTTAGAAGCCACATGTTGAAAAGGAACCGCCCTAAATCCGCGAAGCTCTTGTACCTTTTTAAGACGAGTGCGCGCGGCGCTAAGGCGAGAGCCACATTTTGAAAACGAGCCGCCCTAAATCCGTGACGCTCGTAACTTGTTAAAACGAATGTGCGTTGCGCCATGGCGAGAATCACATGTTGGGAACCGCCCGCCCTCCATCTGTGAAGCTGTTGCCATGTTTAATGCTTCAGGGTCACACATGGTGAGGAGGTCTCAGGTGAAACGCCCAGCCCGCCCTTTCGACCGGCCTCAGGGTGCGACAGGGAGGAGTTTTTGCTAAAAGGGAAAAGGCGTTAAGGAGGAGGAGGAGGCTCAGGTGGAGGAGGAGGAGGAGGAGGAGGTTCAGGAGGAGGAGGAGGAGGAGGAGGAGGAGGAGGAGGCGAGGAGGAGGAGGAGGAGAGGGAGGAGGAGGAGGAGGAGGAGGAGGAGGAGAGGAGGAGGAGAGGAGGAGGGGAGGATGGAGGGAGGAGGAGGAGGAGGAGGAGGAGGAGGAGGAGGGGAGGAGGAGGAGGTGGAGGAGGAGGAGGAGGAGGGGGGGAGGAGGTGGAGGAGGAAGAGAAAGAGGAGGTGGAGAAGGGGGAGGGAGAAGCAGGAGGGAGGGGATGGGCGAGGAGGAGGGGCGAGGGCACACCGCGGGCGAGCAGCACCCTCCCTCGGCCGAAGCCCCGGGGCGGTCAGGCTGGGGGCGCGCCGCCGCCACGACCGGGGCGGCCGCCACGGCTGGGGCGACGCGGCGCTGAGCAAGGCCGCGGCCAGCGATCGTCCTCGTCCCCGTCCCAGTCCCTCCTCCTCCTCCTCATCTCCTCCTCCTCCTCCTCCTCCTCCCCTCCTCCTGTGTCCTCCCTCCCTCCTCCTTGAGATTCCCTCCCCCCCACACCCTCCTGCTCCTGGATATTGGTTTGCTCCTGATGCTCCTATCCTGGTCCTCCACCTCCCTCTCCTCCCCCTCCTTATCCTCCTCCCTTCTCCTCCTCTCTCATCCCTTTTTCTTCTTCTTCTTTTTATTGTTCTTCTTCTTTTTCTTCTTCTCCCTCCTCCTCCTCCTCCTCCTCCTCCTCCTCCCCCTACTCCTCCTTCCTCAATCCACTGAGTCACTCGAATTCGAAATGTGACCTTCTAATTCTCACCTCCTATGGTAGTGAAGCTGAAAATATGCCAGCGTTTCACGGATGGAGGGCGGGTCGTTTTCAACAGGTGATTCTCGCTTTGGCGCGGCGCACATTCGTTTCAGACATTTGCAGGAGTTTCACGGATTGAAGGCGGGTGGTTTTCAACATGTGGTTCTCACTGTAGCGCCGCGTACATTCGTTTTGAAAGTTCGCAGGGGCTTCACGGATGGAGGGTTGGTCGTTTTCAAAATGTAGTTCTCGCTTCACATTCGTCTTAAAAGTTGTGCAAGGGTTTCAGGGATGGAGGGCGGAACTTGTTCAACGTGTGGCTCCCGCCTTAGCGCCGCGTGCATTCGTGTTAAGAGTTTGTCCGCGTGTCCATTTCGGCACACCCATCACACGCTCCGTGGCCCCATAGGGAGCTCCACCGAAGGCCCCAGTGGCAGGGGTCGCATACGTCTCCCCGCCCACCGCATGTCGAGTTTGGCACGCCCCTCACACGCAAGGTTCACATGCGTCTCCACGCCCAGTTCATGTCCATGTCGGCACAACCCTCACACGCTTCGTGGCCCCATTGGGAGCTCCACCGAAGGCCTCAGTGGCTGGGCTCACCTGCGACTCCCCGACCCACCGCACGTCCATTTCGGCACACCACTCACGTTTCTTGGCCCCAGTGGCAGGGTTCGCATGCAGCTCCCCGCCCACCGCATGTCCATGTGGGCGCACCCCTCACACGTTGCGCGGCCCCATTGGGAACTCCACCGAAGGCACCAGTGGCAGGGTCCGCATGCGTCGCCCCGCCCACCGCATGCTATTTCGGCACATCCATCACACGTTTCGTGGCCCCATTGGGAGCTCCACCGAAGGCCCCAGTGGAAGGGTTAACCTGCGGCTCCCCGCCCAGCGCATGTCCATTTCGGCACACCCCTCACATGCTTCGTGGCCACATAGGGAGCTCCACCAGGGACGATATTTAACACTGCGTTACTCACAACTGCACATAAACATGTTTATGTATATATATATACACAAATATATATATATATGTATGTATAAATATATATATATATATATATATCCTCCCTCATCTGCTCCCTGCTCTCCGTCGCACTTCCTCATCCTCTTATCCTCCTTCAGCGGGGTGCGTTGGGGCCTGTCCCGTCAGCTGCTCCTCTCCTGGGGCGGCAAGGACAAAACGATCGAGTGATCGACGTAATAGTTTCTCTCCCTTGCAAGCTTACTTTCAGTCACTGCCTTGATGAGCGTGCCATCCATCCATCCATCAGCGGGGCAGTGCAACCTCGGGCTGAGGGCGGCGGCGGGGCACTGCAACCTCGGGCTGAGGGCGGCACGCTTTTTAGTATTCTCTCGCGCTGGATCCCCGTCCCTCTGTACCCTCAGGAGGGGAATGATGATGAGGAGGAGAGGGATCAGGAGAGTGATTAACTCGATAATATGGGCGAGGAGGAAGAGGAGCTAGATAAGGCGAGTGCGACCCAGACGATGATGACGAGGATGATGATGACGATGATGATGATGACGATTATGACGATGCTGATGATGACGATGATGATGATGATGAGCAGGACTGCAGAGGATGAGGAACTGAACACGCTGAGAAAGGGATCCTCTTGCACAGGCTCCCAATAGGAACCCATTGTGCACAGGCTCTCAACAGGAATCCTTTTGCACAGGCTCTCAATAAAAAAAAGCCATTTGTATTGCGTCTCGATAATATTCTTTTTGTACTAGCTTTCAATAGGAACCCTTTTTGCAAAGGCCCTCACTAGGAATCATTGTGTAGAGGCTTTCAATAGGAATCGTTGCGAAGAGGCTCTCAATAGGAATCCTTTGTGTAGAGGCTCTCAACAGGAATCGTTTTGTAGAGGCTCTCACTAGGAATCATTGTGTAGAGGCTGTCCTTAGGATTCCTTTCGTGGAGGCTCTCAGTAGGAATCCTTCTGTAGAGGCTCTCAATGAGATTTGTTTCGTTGAGGCTGTCAACATGAATGGTTTTGCACAGGCTTTCAATAGGAAGCCATGTGTATTGCGTTTCCATAGTAATCCTTTTGTATGGGCTTTCAATAAGAATCCTTCTTGTAAGAGGCTCTCATTCGGAATCCTTGTGCAGAGGCTTTCAATAGAAATCATGTTGTAGAGACCCTCAGTGGGAATATGGTCGTGGCGGGTCTGAACAGGAATACTTTTGCACAGGCTTTCAACAGGACACCATGCGTATTGACTTCCAGTAGTCTTCATTTTGCAATGGCTTTCAATAGGAATCTTTTTTTGTAGGGGCTCGCAATCGGAATCTTTTTGTAAAAGGCTTTCAACAGGAATCCTTGTCGCAGAGGCTCTGAATAGGAATCCTTTTGGTAGAGGCTCTCAATGGGATTTTTGTGTGGAGGCTCTCGACAGGAATCCTTTGCACAGGCTCTCAACAGGAATACATGTGTATTGGGTTTCAATGGGGATCCTTTTGTAAAAGGTTTTCACTCGGATCCTTTCGCCGAGGCTCTCAACAGGAAGCCTTTTGCACAGGCTCCCAAGAGAAATCCATGTGTATTAGGCTTCAATGAAGCATCCTTTTGTAGAGGCTTTCAACAGGAATTCTTTTTATAGGGGCTGCCAATCGGAATCAGGTTGTAGGGGCTCTCAATAGGAAGCCATGTGCACTGCGTTACAATAGTAATCATGTTGCATTGGCTTTCAATCGGAATCCTTTTTTTGTAGAGGCTCTCAATCGGAATCCTTGTGTAAAGGCTTTCATTCGGAATCTTGTTGTAAAAGGTTTTCGATTGGAATCCTTTTCGCAGAGGTTCTGAATAGGAATCAGTTTGTCGAGGCTCTCCGCAGAAATCCTTTTGCACAGACTTTCAATCGGAATCCATGTGTAATGGGTTTCAATAGGAGTCGTTTTGTATTGGTTTTGTATCGGAATCCTTTTTGTTGAGGCTCTCAATAGGAATCATGCTGTAGAGGCTTTCAATAGGAATCGTTTTGTAGAGGCTCTCAATAGGAATCCTTTTTGTAGAGGCTCTCAATAGGAATCGTTTTTGCAGAGGCTCTCACTAGGAATCCTTTTGTAGAGGCTCTCAATAGGAATCCTTTGTGGAGGCTCTCACTAGGAATCCTTTTTGTAGAGGCTCTCAATCGTAATCCTTCCGTAGAGGCTCTTAATAGGAATCATGCTGTAGAGGCCAGCGCGACATGAAAAAACAAAAACAAACACAAGGAAATACAAACCAAACCAAAGACACCAAAGCCTTAAGACTGGAAAACTAAAAAGCCGTCGTGCAAGCCGTCTTGCCCGCTAAACGGTCGATGCCGACCACCCACCCGAAGGGCTTGCGCGATGAGACAGAACGCCGTTCAGATAGTACAGCAAAACAGTAATTGCGATAGGAGGAGGACGAGGAGGAGGAGGAGGAGGGGGAGGAGGGGGAGGAGGGAGAGGAGGGGGAGGAGGAGGGGGGGGGGAGGATGAGGGGGGAGGCGAGGAGGGGGAGGGAGGGAGGCCGAGTGGGGAGGAGGAGTCAGCGCGAAAACGCTTGAGATACCCCCAAAAAAAAAAAAAAAATGATTTCGGGAGAACTTCTGGGGAGGGGGGGGGGGCAAGGTTCTCCCGAAATCACAGTTTTTTTTGGGGGGGGGGGGGGTCCAAGGGGGTTCGCTGTTTTTCGCAATGCCGATCATTTCTCGCAGGTCTTCGAAGGCGTTCGAAGAGGAGGGGGAGGCGGAGGAGGAGGAGGAGGAGGAGGAGGAGGAGGAGGAGCGACGACGAGCAAGAAGAACAATAATAATCACATGTATGATCATGTGGGGGGCTACCATATATATATATATATATATATATGGCGTGCCCCCCCCTCTGAGATCTACCTTGAAGCTCTTTTTCTACTGATATCCGTCACAGTGGTCGTGGCGCCGTCATGGGTGATGAAGCTTACGTCGCAAGTGCGGGCCTTAGCAAGTCTGTCATCGGACCGCCAATCAGAAAGGGCCCGGGCGATCGACGCCCGATTGTGCCGACGACGCGATAACTGCACGGTCTAAGCGCGCAATTTACTTATGCACATGCACAAAACATGCGCGCGTGCATTCAGACACGCGCGCGATTGAACACGCGCGCAGACACATAAGGACTTGATCTCATGATCTGATCACATCATGATGAATGAAGCGGATGCAGGGATGCAGCGATCGGGCGATAGGAGCATCACTGCAATGCTGAAGCCGACGCACGTGGCCTCCACCTCAACGTCGAAGGAAGGGCGAACAATGATGTCCTCAAGGTCGGGGTCAGCTGGGTGCCACAGGGGACCCGCGAAGCCTGGCGCGTGGAACTGGCCTAAACCCTTGCGGAACGTCTTGAAGATGGTCCAGCCGCCGATGCAACAGTAGATGCGGTCCTTATGTTTCTTTCCGAACGGCTGTTGAAATCTACACCGTCTTCTTGCTTCCGCCGCAGAAAAGACCAGCCGACCAGCGCAGTCTTCGCCGGCTGTCTGTCTTTTCCGAAGCACGAAGAAGACTTAAAGTACCGCGCATCAGGTTTGCAACAAACCTGTGGCGCAATTCTTTTCCATTTCAGAATGCGTCTCGCCGTCCTGGCCAGCAGCCACGCGGTTGCTCT